ATATCCATTTAGGTTCTTCAAATGGTAGGCTCCCCCAAGCAAGACTCTATGGACTTGGTACGGCCCTTCCCAATTAGGTGACCACTTGCTAAACTTGTGGCTTTTAATTCCTACTGAAAATATTGTTTTCCAAACCAAGTCTCCTTTATCAAAGCTTAGGTGTTGAACCCTTTTATTATAACTTTTGGTTGTTTTTCTCTTTTGTAGAAGGATGTTGTTGAGTGCCAAAATTCTAGCCTCATCTACATTTTCCAATTCCAAACACATGTATTGATGATACTAATCAGAGCTTAGGTGATCCTGGCATTTGACCCTTAAAGACTTTATATTGATCTCAACTGGTAATACTGCATCATGCCCATATACCAAGTGTAGCTTGACTTTTTCGGGCCCCTTTTCGAAGAGCTCGAATTGGTTCTACAGTTCGAACTCCTGTCACGGTTCTGAATCTAATCTCACAAAGTGCAATGTGAAACTGATAAACACCAAAGAGTCCAATCCAACAAATGTTTTGGAAAATCGATTTTAGATCAAATAATGCCAAAATTGGACTGCTTTGCTAGATTACAGAGTCGCCACCTAAATATTTTGTTTTTGGAAAATTTAGGAAACCTTGACTCGTGCCAAAGGCCATGTGTCCATCATCACCAAAGTTACCTCGGCTCGGGAACTTGGGTATGAGAGAGGAAGGTCCTAAAATGAGCACCTCCCGCTCGCTTAATCAAAGATCGGCCTCTACTAATCATGATATGTTGTTTTATAAACCTCATGTGTTCTTGTTTTGGTTATTAGCTAACTTACTATGTGATTCACACAAGCAAGTATAGACTAAGTCGCAAGACTTAGAATGAATTCAACTCATATTTGCTTTCGAAAATGGTTTGAATTTGCCACTCTCAAGTGGGCTTAGAAATGCAGATTTTCCACCTCAAGTGGGCTTTAAAACATGATTTGTCACTTTGCAAAGCGGGCTTAAAACTCACATTCGTTGAACTGTTCCAATTCAAACAATAAAGCCTTCATCCACAGGCATTCATGCAGTTTAGCATTTAAGCACATAGCCTCATGGCGAGCATGTGAATCATGGCAATATGGAAATCACCCTCGTGCAAGTATGCTAAAGCGTAAAAGCTTACTAAGTACTCCAAGCCAAAACAAAAATTAGTTAGAAACAATGCATGACCTTAACTATACAAGACGCCTAATGCAACACATGCAATAATACAATTAATAGGCTCACCTACCTAATCATGGTATTTGTAACACTTTGATAGCATGCTTTGAAACACGTATTCAAAAAAAGATATTGAAATAACAATGCAGTTTGAATGATGTGCCGAGTCTCGGTGCAGGTAAGACAAATGAATGATGCAAACATGCAAGCATAAGGTATGTTAATTGAAACATGATCCCTAATCTAACCATCGAAAGTAATTAAATAAAAGGGAGAAAGACGTGGGGTTGGAAAACATACACACACGCACGCACACTTATTACAACATCATGCCCTCGCGAATGAGGGTCCGAATAAATAAGCTAACTAGCTTTGCCAATTACGCTAACTATTACAACACAGAATCAATTAACTATTCTAGTTAACTAATTATTACAGACCAAAGTAAATAACTAGCCATGCTAAGCTAATTAAAGTAATTAATTAATTAACTATCTAAGCTAATTAATTACAATACTTGAATTGAATAATTAGCTACGCTAACTAATTAAAGCAATTAAATGGCCTCGAGGGCGAGGGTGGCATGCATGCTCGGTTGCCTTCGTCTCGAAAATCCACTGCCTTGCCATTAGACGCCTCTGTTTGCATTTGCTTTGACCACTGAAAATTACACTAACTTCCAGCACACCTCTGCTCCACCTCAAGAACATACTGAAAAAACTTTTCATTGATGGTCGGTCGGCTACAATTGGTGGCTATCAGCCACTATTGGTGGCTGTCAGCCATTACTGGTGGCCGGTCGGCCACCACTTTCTTAAACTTCTCTTTTTTGCTGCAACAAAGAGCAAACAGAGGCAAAACAGTGTATTCTTAAGGAGTATGTGTACTATTACCCTCCTTATCATTACATAAGGTCAAAGGAGTGTAATTCTTGGCTCCAAAACCACCAACCAAGCATTTTCAATGCATGATAGCCAAAGAACCAAGAAGTACAACTTCATTGTATGCAAAAACAAGACTCAAGACCATCACCTTATCATGTGTGATCAAAGGAAATGGAGACGAAGGAGATTGGCTCATTTCATCACTTTGAGTATGAAATACTCCAATCTATATTGAATACATGCAATGCAACACAAGATGCTTATCTTGCCTCTTTTACTTTGTTGTTTTTGTTTACCAATTTTAGATTACCAATCCATTCTTTAATTGGTTAGTCCAAAAGGTGGGTGTCCTCTAATGAAAGAGGGCTTAAACCATAAGTACCTTGAGCATGAAAGAGGCCTCATGCTGTTAGTAATGAACTCCGGAAGGAATTAAACCATTAGGCATAAGGGTATCAATTCCACACTCAAGCCAACAAGGGGTTCGAAGTCACTTTCAAAACAAATGAAAGAGTGAAGAATAGAGGGAGATTGCAGAGATTTCAGTGTTGAAATGGAGTGCAAAATAACACTAAAACATGCAAGCAACTCATGCAATTCATGTTAAAAAGCCTAAACTATTAAGCTATTTAAGGAGATTGCACTACAACCACACAATACAAACCTCAAAGGACCAAATCAACTCAAAACAAAGCTAAAATCAGTCAAAATAGTAACTAAAATATACTGAGATTGAGGTACAAAATGCTAGAATAAGAGGCCAAAGCATAGCACAAACAAAACATAACAAGCACAATTGCACTACAAGCATATAAAGCAAGCCTCAAGTGCTCCAACCAGCCCAAAACAGAGCTCAAACATGCCAAAATAGAGCCTAAAACATGCTTGAATTAAGCTAAATTAAGCTAGAAAATCAAGCTAACATGTGAAGTAACCTAGGCATGGAAACAAAACACAAGGAGGTGAGGCTAACCCCTCCTACTTTGGACTTCAAAAGTTGATTTTTACCATTGAAATAACTCTGATTTTCAGTGGTTTAAAGGGCCAAAAAGTTTTGGTTTGAAAGCCTTGAAAGATGGCACAAAAAGCTTCACAATTAGGCAACAAGAAGGGTAGGCTACCCCTTAACACAAAATGACCTTAAACCATCATGTTAAGGCTCAAAAATCAGAGTTTTTTGTAGTTGAAAACTAGGCCAAAAACAGTACAAAAGGATGGCCAAACAAGTAACTAAAACAAAGCCTACAAGGTAAGTCTTATACCTCTTGAAGCACAGCACAAAACAAGCTCAAATTCCAGCTCAAAACCCTTTCTAAGGCTCCAAGAAGACCTCCTAGAACCTCAGCTCCAAGGTAGTCAAGATTGATCAAGAGTCTATGTGCAAAGGTGTAGAGAAAGCTAACTACAAAGCACAAAATAAGAAGAGAGAGAGAGAGAGTTCTAGAGAGAGAGAGAGAGAGAGAATTTTGCTCAAAATTGTCTAACCCTTAAAAATGGGGGAGAGACCCCCTTATATATAGAAAAAAAATCTTAGAGCTTGTATTCATCTCGTCATACATGTGTATAAAGATGCACTTCAGTGAACAACAGTTGGCACAGCTGGCAAACTAATATCTGAAAAATGAGAAAAATAGTCGTCGACCATCACCAGTGGCCGACCAGCCATCAATGTGGCCGAGCGGCCACCACTGATGACCGGTAGGCACAAGCCATGGCCGATGGACTGTAGGGATGGCCGACAGGCCACCCTCTCTTCCAGACTTGAAGCAATAAGCTCTTGGTCCACAACCAAGCACAAAACAGACAAGTTAAGAGGCTTAAAGGCGAGGCGCTCGACCGAGAACTTCAGGCACTCAAAACGAACACAAGCATACAAAACCATCGAGTGTTTAAAGAATGACGTCCAAGTCTCGAGGACGGTCAAAAATGGGGTGTCTACACCAAGGCATAAGAGGTAATTCCTGTGCTTGATCTTTGCGAAGTCCTATAAGCCCATAACACACCTAATAGTAAGTTATGCCAATCTCTAGGATTGTCTTCAACAACCCTTTGTATTCATTTTTTCAAGGATTTGTTCAATGACTTTGCTTGGCCATTTGTTTCTACATAATAGGAGGTGGAATTAATAAGACTAATTCCAAATGCTGCAAAAGCTTTCACTAGCTTTCCATCAAACATAGTCCCATTATCCACAGTTATGGTCTGTGGAATACCAAACCTGTGGATCAATTCCTTAATGAAATCAATTACTTCTGCCTGATCCACAGTTTTATAGGGCTTAGCCTCAACCCACTTTGTAAAGTAGTTTGTAGCTACTAGAATAAAACAGTGTTGTTTCGAAGAAGGTGGGTAAGTTTTCCCCATCATAACCATTGCGCATCCTCTAAATGGCCAAGGCTTCACCATTGCATGTAGATCAGTTATTGCAACATGTCTTATCATACCATGCTTTTGGCATGCCTGACAACCTTTTGCATACTCTATGCAATCCTTAAGGATGGTTGGCCAATAATAAGAGTGCCTTCGAAGCAGCCATCTCATCTTAACTCCAGGCTGGTGAGCACCGCAAATGCTCTCATGCACTTCAACCATGGCAGTCAATGCTTCCTTTGGTCCCAAACACTCTAATAAGAGACCATCTGCCCCACTTTTGTAAAGAGCATTCCCATACACTATGTATTGCATGGACTGTAGCTTAAACTTTCAGTTGGCATTCGAAGATGGGCCAGTCAAATACTGAATGATTAGATCTCTCCAATCCTGCCCTTCCAAGTCATTCTGATTAGTTTCTACCAATAAACCTCATTTGGCTAACGATGGTATCAACTTCTGATATGTTGCTTGGCTCATATCTATCTGAATATTATTATCATTTCTTTTGAAATTCGAAACTTTCTGGGGCACATTATTAGCCTTGTGATTCATGAATCTTGGGATATAAGTTATATTGCCACTTGGAAATGGGAAAGCAAATGTACAGCAGCAACATAGTATGGAAACGTGCTTGCACTTTGATATTTAAAGATCCCTTTTACTTGATTAATTACTAATTGAGAATCTTCAAATTGAGAATCTCCAAAATATATCAACAGCATGAGCCTGTAAACCAATGAGTATCTCATTCCCATAATCAAGGCTTCGTATTCTGCTTGATTATTGAAACAAGTAATTTCATCAACTCTGAAATCATGTGTGGTTTTTACTCCTTGAGGTGATTTAATCACAACACCAATTCCTACCAGGATGATCAACTCAAGTTCCATTGTTTCTTGATACTCTGATTGGCATGGATGATCAGCTAAGAAATTGGCCAATACCTGCCTTTTCACTGCCTTTTGGGGAACATATTCCAAATGGAACTCTGACAAGGCCAAAATCCATTTGCCTATTCTTCCTCTTAATATAAGTTTGGATAACATGTGTTTAACCAAATCTGTGGTTGCAATTACCAAGACAATAGAAGGCAAAAGATAATATCTTAATTTTATTGCTGCAAAATATAATGCTAAACACAGCTTTTCAACAGCTGAGTATTTACATTCACAAGAGTTTAAAAACCTACTAAGGTAATATATTGATTGGTCTTTGCCTTCTTCATTGTCTTGAGCCAAAAAGACTCCTAATGATTCTTCAGTTGCAGCGATGTATAACTTCAAAGGTCTGTTCTTTCTTGGTTGCATTAGCACTGGAGGTTTGGCTAAATAGGCTTTTATTCCTTCAAAAGCAGCTTGATACTCTGTTGTCCACCTAAAATCTTCTTCATTTTTTAACTTCAACAAAGAAGAAAAAACTTTAGTTTTCCCAGCAGTGTTAGAAATAAACCTTCGAAGAAAATTAACCTGACAAAGGAATTTTTGCAAGTCTTTCTTACTTGATGGAGGTTTGGCCTTAATGATGGCTTTGGCTTTCTAATCAATCTGTATTTCCTTCTTGTGTACTATATATCCTAAGAAGTTTCCAATTGACACACCAAAAACACATTTGAGTGGATTGAGTTTTAGCTTGAAATTTCTCATTCTTTCGAAGGCTGTTGTCAAGTGGACCAGATGCTCTTCCATAGACTGAGATTTTACTATAATATCATTAATGTAACACTGTAAGTACCCCTTAATGAGATCATGGAAGATGGTGTTCATTGCTCTTTGAAACCAAATGGCATTTTAACCCATTCGAATGTCCCAATGTTCCTAGGACCCTGAAAGTTGTCTTGTGAACATCCTCATCTACAATTCATATCTGACTATAGCTAGGATGGCCATCCATCATTGACAAGATCCCGTGTCCTATTGAACTGTCTACCAATAAGCAGATCCACTGCAGGCATGGGGTACTCATCTTTTGGAGTTGCCAAGTTTAGATTTCTAAAGTTAATACAGACCCTCAATTTGCCATTCTTCTTAATCACAGGCACTATGTTGGACATCCATTCAACATACTTGGCTATTCTGATAAAGCTTTCCTTGAGGAGCCTAGCAGTCTTCTCCTTTACTTTTTGAATCACCTCAGGACTCATTCGCCTAGGCTTCTGCTTGTATGGTTTAAAGTTTGGCTAAACTGGAAGTCTATGTTCCACTAATGACCTATCAAATCCAAGCAGATCATTGTAAGACCAAGCAAAAAAATCCTTATATTCTTTTAGTAGGGCCAATAACTAGTTCTTGGCTATAGGATCCAACTAAACATTAATATAGGTAGGCTATTACACTGATACATCTCCTAGATTGATCTCCTCTAAAGGATTATGCATTTGAGTGTTTACTACTGTCTCTTTTTCAGCTTCTGCTGGCTTCGAAACAACCTTTTTATCCTGATCTGTCATAACCTTTCCTGGCTCAGCCTTTTTGCTTTCTTCTTCATAGATGAAGTCTGTCCATAGAATTTCTTCTTCCTGTATCTCTTGGACTTTAGTCTCAATGTCCAATGCACAATATTTTCTTAGAGCTAATGCTTTGGCCTCTTGCGGCTCATGTTTACAACAGCTAATCATCATGGCTTCCCTTTCTTCCTTCTGAACCTTCTGAACTATTACCCTGATGTCCAATGTAAAGAACTTTACCAAAGCCAAAGGCTTGGCTTCTTGATCCTCTTGCCTACAACTAGACATTGTTGGTATCCTTGATGATGTAGCCATATTCATCATCAGCACTCTCTTGTACCAAGTGTTTCAGGTGTGCCAACTCCTCATCAGCCATCACTTCAGCTGTTCCATCAGGCTTCCTCAGTATGCCTAGTGGAACCACCTCTTTGGTATACAACTTTGCTTCTACAAAATCTGCACAAGCAATGAAGGGTTGTGGGTCTACATTTATCTCCGCTGTCTCCCCATTGCTCAAAGCTATCATCACTTTCTAATGTAAAGAGAATGACAAACATTTGTTGGTGTGGATCCAATTTCTACCAAGCAAAGCATTATACTTGGCATTGCTATCTATGACCAAAAAAGGCAGTTATACAATCCCTTGTCCCACACTCAAATCAATGGGTAATATACCCTCGGCCATCTGCTTGTCCCCAACAAAACTAGCAATGGTCGTGCTTGTTGGGATCAACTTGGGATTCCTTTTGCCCAACTTTTTCAAAGATGAACGAAGGAATAGATTTACTGCTATCCCATTATATACTAGTACCCTGTTCATTTCTATTCCATCAAAGTATGCCTTAATGTACAAAGGTTTAACATCCTGAGTCATTTATGATGTCAGATATTCAAAAGGGTGTGATAGGTTAACTATGCTTACCTCTTCACTTTTTTCATCAGTCCTCATAGACTTGGTTACTTCAGACTCCCCCTAAACTATGCTGGCCTCTGAATCTTCACTGGAAACTTCTATAGGGTCATTCTCCTGCCCCTTCTGATTTTCTTCTTCTATTTGAAATTCCTAAGGCAATACATATACCATATTGATTGGTATTGAAGCGAATGAGCCAAACTACACCACTGGCTGTATTTGCTCCCCTTCTGTATTGGCCTGACCAGATGCCTGGGGTGCATCTTTCATACTACATTCTGGAACTTCTGAGTTGGCAGGCTCCTTAACATCAGTCTGTTGTTGATCTGTCTTGAACACAGACACTGACTATTTAGCCATGAAGGCTTCGAACATATCTTCTTCGGCCAATACCTACTTTTGGCCTAGTTCAGTTTCCTCGTCTGTCTCATTGTCCTCATCACTCTCCATTAAGTCCTTTTCGAGGCCTGCCAAACTTGAATTTTCTTTTATTTTTAGTTGAATATGGACTTTGGCCAACTCCTTTCTGTTGGCATTAATATTACTTCGAGGACTAGGCTTCGAATTCTCTCATTCTTCCATTTGACCTCTTGATTGCACCAAAGAGGTGCCCTCGCTAGCCCCTTTAAGATCTCTTTGATATTGAGTGAACCTTCGCTGGATTTTTCTCCTCTGAGATTTAAAGATCACATGAACCATATCTGGTTATTTTGACTTTGGGTTTTTAAGTAGGACCCAATTATTGGGGGCCACCAAAGGAGGTCTGATCATTCTGTCCCTGCCTATAAAGGCCTTCTCCTGGGTTGGTATCATTTTAGGTTTATTCTACATGACAAACCAATTTGGTACTCTTGGCACTTACGAACCCATTGTGCCGGTTGTAAGGCCTACTGCTTTTGTCTTCGAAGGCCAATCACTGGCCTTAGTTCCCTGTTTTAAGCCAGGCTTAGGCTTATTCATAGGCTTACTGGCCATTCTGTAGTAGTTTGGTGGCCTAGTTTCATACAAAGGCCTCTTGCCTTTCGATAGATTCCTGGCATCCAGTGGCCCATCCAAGGATGGCTGCTGGTTAGGACCCCTTGGATATTCCCTCTTGTTGTGGGCATTGATTGGTTTACGGTCTCTCTGCACTTCTTTGTAATACTGTTTTCCATCAATTGGAAGCCCCTTCAGCCATTTGTAACTTCACCTATATTTGGGATACATCCGTTGTATACCAGTGTAGCTCGACTTTTCGCGCTCCCTTTCGGAAGAATGAAATAGCCCTTACAGTTCGGACTCCACTTGTGTTGGTTCTGATTCTGATTTCACAAGTGCAATGTAAAACAATAGAAACACAAAAAGAGTCCAAATCTGGCAATTTCTTTTGAAAAATCGATGTTTGAATCAAATGCCAAAAATGGACTGCTTTGCCAGATTTTAGAGTCGCCACGTAAATATTTATTTTTGGGAAATTTAGGAAACCCATGACTCGTACCAAAGGCCATTAGTCCGTCGTTACGAAAGTGTCTTGGTTTGGGAACTTAGGTATGAGAGGACAAGGTCAATAATTGAACACCCCACTCACCTGATCAAAGATCGGCCTCTACTAATCATGATGTGATTTTTATGTGCAGTATATGTTCTTATTCTAATTATTTAATAAATCCTAAAATTTATTACGTGAAGCATACAAGGTATAGACTAGTTTGCTCAAATTGGAACAATTCAATTTCATGTTTGTTTCTCAAAAAGGGTTTGAATTTTCCACCTCAGGTGGGCTTAATTTGCCACTTAACAAAGTGGGCTTAAAGTTTGTGAATTTGCCACTACAAAGTGGGCTTAAAACGTACATTCATTGAATCATTCCAATTCAAGTAACAAGCCTTCATCCACAGGCATTCAAATAGTTTATCATTTAAGCAATTAGCCTCATGGTAGGATGCTAAACATAATAAGAAAATTATGTACAAGCGGGATGCTAAAGCATAACAACTCACATATTTACCGACGTCCCGCGAACAAGCTACAAAACAAAGTTAGAAAATATGCATGATTCCTAACTGTACAATATGACAAATGCAACACATGATATGCAATTACTAGGCTCGGCTACTAATATGGCATATGAAATGATTTGATTGCATACGGTCTAAGCATGTATTCAAAGAAGAATTTAAACGACAATGCGAATTAGAATGATACGCCGGGCTTTGGTGCATGCAATACAAGTGGATGCAAACATGAGTATGCTAAATTAAACATGATGTCCCTAATCTGACCATCATAAGCAGGTAAATAAAAGGGAGAAAGACGTGTGGTTGGAAGGTATACACATTATTACAAGTTTGTTTGCCCTTGTGCAGGAGGGTCCGAAAATGTCCGAATAAATAATTATTACAAAGCCGAATGACTAATAAATAAAAAGGGGCTGTCTAATTTATTACAATAATAATATGCAATGATTGCTCGATGCTCCTCGTGAATTATTTTGTCTGCCTTGCTGGGATTTGTACTGTTTCACCCCTAGTTACTGCTTTTGAAAAGTGTATTATTTTGCAATTTATTGGAGCCTTGCTGACCCCAAATGCGACTCAGTCAAGCCCCAAATAAATCCAATACTTTGTTTTCTTGTGGAAATCTATTTTTTGTACCTGAGGTGAAACAGTGCAAATAGGGTATTCCTAGCCATGTTTGTCTTTGTTTTTACCCTTCTCTATCATAAAAATACTCAAGAGAGGGTTGGAATCATCTCCAAAACCATCAATTAGCAAGTTGATTGCTTGATGATCTCAGATACAATTTGGACAATGATCAATAAATACAATGAATAAACAACTATCCCTCCCTCCTATCATGAAGTGAATTCAAGAAGGGAAGTAGAGACACTTCAAGATTCATCAAATTATCATGAATTGATGTAAGACAAGCCTTGACACAATAAACTCGGTATAACGTCTGACCGAATTCATTAATCATATTGGTTCTTTATGTCTGTTGTAATCCAATTTTAACCAATTTTATTAGCCTTTTTTATTACCTTTCCATTTCTTTATCTTTTCTCCTGTTTGTGCAAAAGTGATATTTACGTCCACTAAGTCCAAAACGCAATAAAGAGAAACAAGCATCAACTTAACCTGAGAAACAAATCTTATTATCTTCGGGGGAAAATTATAAAGGAATAGTCAAACTTATTTACAAGCGATAAGGGATTCCAAGTGAAACTCAAGATGTGTAACAAGGACTAGTCAAACTCAAAAGAGTGATAATGACTTAGAAAAATCCAAACTTGAGTGATAATAACTTGAAATCCAAACTTGATAATAAGTGATAATGACACTTTCCTTGGTGATTTTCAAGGGTCAATTAGTCCCTTAAAAGTAAACACATTGATGAATAAAGAGAAATGAAAAATAAAAGATTGTGCTTTAGTATAAGAACATGTATACATTTGGGGTAGTGAACCTCCAAAGAATTTAAACCATTAAGTATAGAACGTTTTATGCCTTTGGTAGTAAATCCCCTAAGAGATTAAATCAGTAAGCATAGAACATTGTATACTTTTGGTAATGAACCTCCTAAGCATGAAATGTTTTATGCCTTTGGTAGTGAATCTCCAAAGAGATTAAACCATTAACTATAAAGCATTTTACACCTTTGGTAATGAACCTTCTAAGCATAAAACGTTTTATGCATTTGGTAGTGAATCTCCAAAAAGATTAAACCATTAAGCATAGAGCGTTTTATAGCTTTGGTAATCAACCTCCGAAGAGATTAAACCATTAAGTATGGAAGAGTTCCTTTC